TGTAGTCATTATAGCAATAAAAACTGCTTTATGGCAGTTTTCTAAAAAAAGTTATTGTGTTCTAGTCCATGGACCCCGTCTAAAAAGTAAGAAATTAACGAAATGTGATAGCCGAAAATTAAAATTTCACACAAAACCTCACAATAATCACGACACTTGAAGATCTAATAGTACGGCTTTCAACACTAAGTCTTGTTTATTCCGACACTTGTACTTGTACAAGTACATGTACTGCGCCAACATGCTTGCATGTGAAAGAGGACCACGAGGGGAAAAGGTTGTCTCGCATCCTGTGTGTGATTATTGTGAGGTTTTGTGTGAAATTTTAATTTTCGGCTATCACATTTCGTTAATTTCTTACTTTTTAGACGGGGTCCATGGACTAGAACACAATAACTTTTTTTAGAAAACTGCCATAAAGCAGTTTTTATTGCTATAATTTCTTTTGTTTTTTGGCTAAAGGATATTACCGGTATTAGTTTTATTTTATATATTTTACTAGGGTGTTTCCCACAGACCTATGGTCTTCTGACGGGAGCCCCTAGAAAGATTAAGCATGAACGAACAAATGGGCGATAATCTGTACAAGAGCGAACAGTGGAAGGCAGCATATTCCACCGATCAGAACCTATAATTGTGTCACCAATGGAATGCCCTAAATGATGGCCTACATGTAGCGACTCTACATGTTATTATTTTATTTTACTAGGGTGTTTCGCACAGAGCTATGGTCTTCTATGGCCAGTCAGGCACAGTGGGTTGGTCAAAGACCATGATTGAGATACGAGAGGTACCTGGTTCAAGTCCTGCCTGGGAGCGGTTTTTCCAGCCGTGCTGCTACCCACAGTCAACTGGGAACTTGTGGCCAGGCACAAGGGGTACATGGATGCAGCTAATGGGGTCGCTTTCGGCACTTGTGCCAGTGGTTGTGAGACTTACCCACTCACCCCCACCGTTAGGCGCTGCATCTGCCGCTAGGGTTTATCGGGTGTTAGCGGCCGTCGTGAGTTCCCTTCGGGAACGGATACGATAATTTACTTTACTTTTTTTTTATGGTCTTCTTACGGGAGCCCCTATGGCTATGTACATGTACGTGTATCATATCAATTTCAATACCGTATTATACGCATTGATGTGCAAGCCTTTTCTTGCAGAAAATGGAACTAGTCTTGCATACATGTATTCATGTTCTTCTGCAGGGGAATCATATGAGTAGTGGCGGTGATACTTTTTTTTATACGCAGGTCATTCTGTGGATGTTGCAGAATTTCATGACTTTGTCATAAAATTGTCTTGTCTTTCAGAAAATTCAGATGTCCACACCCTAAATCACATTTACATGAGAATTGTAACCAGGTGCGCGCCGCAGATGTTTTCGTTGATTCTGTGTTTATAATTGTAGTCATGGGTTGTCGTGATAAGGTCATCCGGCATCATATTGTAATGAAATCGTAATCCTGTTGATGTCGGTAAAACCTTTGGAAGCAGTTCAATGGCTTCAAAGTGTTACAAGTCCACGATTATCTAAAACAACACAGCAAAGTAGGAACAATAAACATGTATTAAAATGTAAAGAAATACATTGCTGAGTCCGACACCTCGTTCCAACAACTACACTGATCCTGAGGATATAAGGGGCAAGGATATATGGTTGGAGGTACTGAGAGATAAACAAGGCACTCCACAATAATAACATGTTACACGACTTTGGGGGAGTATGAATGATATCCAGTCAAACCTCTTTAGGACGAACATCAAGGGACCGATGGCATTTGCTCTGTGAGTTTGTATTAACCCTATTTTTATAACGAGTGAATACAATTATTTCTCCAATACTGCAATAGAGACACGAATAGATTTCTTCTACAGCGAAAGATTCTAAGCCAGACCAAACCGTTGACTCGTCTTTTATGAAACAAATGAGTCACTGAACCTTTCTTTAGCAACATGACGGCAACTGAAACAACAACAGAGAAAATACAATACATGTACAACACATTCTTGCAGGTACAACAAACAGATTGCAGATCGTAATTCTTGCTCTACCGGCACGCAACTTTATTTGGGGCAGTGCAATCTTGGCGGTACTCACAATTCAAACAGCCCAGACTCGAGTAAACAAATCCAATCGTACGAGATTTTCACGAGACTGCACCCATTGGCTTGTTTCGTATGAAGCAAACAAGTCACTGAATGCATGAACCTCTCCATAATGGAGATTTTCCCTGATATGCGAATTTATTTTGCATACTAGTACTCGGCCAATGCGTCCTTGAACCTTCGCCTCCAGATTGGGAACTGCCAACGATGCTATGCCACTGCAAAATTCAGATTCTACCCCATGATCGGAGCACGGAATGCCGGAAGCAATCATGACCAGTGCCTTACTTGTAACCAGGGAGTCGTACTCAAACTAGGGAGGTGACACGGCACAGAAATCCGTGTCACAGGGGTTGACTCGCACCCGTGACCCCCTCGTTGTTATTTTTGGAATAGTTCAGTCCAGTCCAGTCCGAAAGGTCATACTCGGATCGACTCGCCTTCTGTACTTCACCTCCAAGCGTGCAGCATGGGTGTCTGGTTTTTGAAATTATTGAGGCAGCACATTTCGTTTACAGCCCATCACTCGCCAGTATTCTTTGAAAGACTACCAGCAATTTGTTTACCTCCTGCCATGTTCGAACTACTTGATAGCAGTGATGGCAACACTTGCCAACAGCAGCAGTTATGAGACAGCGTGTAGTGTTACGGTAACTGTTCAGAAGTTCCAGAACTGTTCAGAGTCGTATCCTAGGTTAATCCGAATACTAAAAATTGACCCAAATTGCACATAACACGAAGCTGGTTTTTGAAAATTGTAAGTCGTGTATCTGCCCCATTTCTTCTTTATGACTTGCACAATACACCAGTCTTCCTAAACAACACATTTCTAGCAGGGGTTAAGTACCATATAAGAGAAGTACAGCCAGTGATATTGTCATGTTGAAATACTACAATTTTGACACAAATTACACATAATACGAAGCCAGGTTTTGAAAAATGTAAGTCGTATATCTGCCCCATTTCTTCTTTATGACTTGCACAATGGTCCAGTCTGCCTAAATAACACATTTATAGCAGGGGTTATGTACCATATTAGAGAAGTACAGCCAATGATATTGTCATGTCTAAATATTACAATTTTGACACAAATTAGACATAACACGAAGCAGGTTTTTGAAAATTGTAAGTCGTGCATCTGCCCCATTTCTTCTTTATGACTTGCACAATACACCAGTCTTCCTAAACAACACATTTCTAGCAGGGGCTAAGTACCATATAAGAGAAGTACAGCCAGTGATATTGTCATGTTGAAATACTACAATTTTGACACAAATTACACATAATACGAAGCCAGGTTTTGAAAAATGTAAGTCGTATATCTGCCCCATTTCTTCTTTATGACTTGCACAATGGTCCAGTCTGCCTAAATAACACATTTATAGCAGGGGTTATGTACCATATTAGAGAAGTACAGCCAATGATATTGTCATGTCTAAATATTACAATTTTGACACAAATTAGACATAACACGAAGCTGGTTTTTGAAAATTGTAAGTCGTGCATCTGCCCCATTTCTTCTTTATGACTTGCACAATACACCAGTCTTCCTAAACAACACATTTCTAGCAGGGGTTAAGTACCATACAAGAGAGCTACATTGTACATCTAGTCATACTGTCATAAACAGCCAGCATTTTTCCTGCAGCAGTCACACCACCATCATCATTATTTCCAGGGAAATCCTCTTACATTGTCAGCTCCTACGTCGTTAGATACAATGTAGGGGGCTGTAGGACCGGCTCGTCAAAAATAGAGAACCTGAACAAGCGTGCTCGGGACGTCTCAGCAATCGTAGTATGCTTGAGCACTCCTATAAAAACTTGATCAATGGCAAAATCGTTCCCCACAGAAAAATCATACTTTGCGGGTCTTGCGTTGCACGCTTGGAGGTGAAGTACAGAAGGCGAGTCGATCCGAGTATGACCTTTCGGACTGGACTGGACTGAACTATTCCAAAAATAACAACGAGGGGTCACGGGTGCGAGTCAACCCCTGTGACACGGATTTCTGTGCCGTGTCACCTCCCTAGTTTGAGTACGACTCCCTGCTTGTAACGTACCAATGTACAATGAACATGAGTATTTCGACAACACATCTAAGCCTTACCGTCAAGAAGGTGAACTCGCGTTCTTCGCACACTGTTGGCAAGGGCAAAGAGATACGAATGGATCTATTAAATCCGAATAAAATCAGCACACGTTTCCGTAAATGAAAGGGTGAGCATAAGCAAATGAATCGAAGGAAACTGGTCAACTCAGAGATCACCTGTCATTGAGTATTCCGTAAAAGGAGGCCTCGACAGCAGAAAAGCTAAATTTAGAAAAGAGATCCTGTCAGCTTTTCCATTATTATTTTATTGTATTCCACCTAAAATCAGCACACTTTTCGTAAATGAAAGAGTCAACACAAGCAAATGAATCAAAGGGAACTGGTCAACTCACCTGTCATTGAGTAATATTCCGTGAAAAGAGGTCTCAGCAGAGCCGAAGCGAAATAAGCCAGGACACGAAATATCCGAAACAGCTCATGCAAGAAGCAGTTCCAAAGAAGGAAGTTCCTCGCGCATGCACATCCGAAAACGGACTGCACGGCATGCAACACAATGTCTGCCGTGCACGTGCACAGCACGCGGCTACCACCCGTTGGTAGATCTAATACCGAGCACCTTACGTAGAAACTTACGTAGCCTAAGTGAAGTACCGATCACCTTACGTAGAAACTTACGTAGCATAGCGGTGTCGTTTTTTCTGCCATGTGAACACAATAATAGAAAAGCTGACAGGATCGCTTTTCTAAATGGTAGTGGCAGTAGTGCTGGCCGCAGGTCATCTACGGATCATGGTCCGGCGCGGCACGTCTTTTGACGTTTTGAACTCAATTTTGCAAGCAGTTTGCAGTTCAAATACTGTACTGTCTGTGCATGTGGTGCATGCAGCTACAACTCAGCAGGGAGATCTGGCCCAGTCCTGCGACATCCACGTCAATCGTCATGTTCCTCTTGTCAGTTGAAATAATTGAGGGTGGATAAAAGGATAAAGGCTCCCACTCGACCTCACTTCTCAGCTCGATCAGTAGGAGCTACATGTAGCTGCATCGTTTCGTAGCACATCACCAGTGTCTTTACCAGGAAACAGCTACTTGGGAAAAGGTTCTTCTACAAACGAAGAAGAGAACTATCCTCTGACGATAATCAACCAAACTGGAAAGAAGTTGAACAAAACACAAGCGTACTGCCCAAAGTTTAGCCCTTGTTGTTTTGAAGCGACGATCTTCACTATAGCATTCACAATGCCAATGGATTCTTCTAAATCTCCCGGCCGCTCATCGCGAAAGCGCAAGCACTCTGCGTCGGAATCGCAAGGGTCGAGAGAATGTGTGATCTGTTTGGAGCAGCCCAAAGAGCGAGGAAAGATCTCCTGCTGCGATCACCTCTTCTGCTTTGACTGCATCACGAAATGGGCGAAGGTAACTCACGTTCAAACTTGCTTGTTGGTCTAGACACAACCTGATGTACTAGGTATAGGTGACTTTCTTTTCTAGGTGTTATTGTCATCGATCCACCCACCAGCCCAGAGTCTGGTACTGTTCTTGGTCTGGTTTCTTCTGTGCTCTTTTATTTGGATAGATTGAGTATTGTGTATTTTCTAAATTTATGAAAGTAAGTTCACTCCTCAACTGGAATAACGGTATCTTTTCTACGGCGATTCAAATTAATTCCTAATGACCAAATTTCTAAATAATAATTGTTGATCTGCGAGCTTAGTTTAGAATTAATTTTGTAGCCCCGATTACCATAGAAACATAAAGTAAAGTTCACACGTTTGCGTTACCACCGGCTATGCAGTTGTGTTCTAGAACACACAACCAGCTTGGAAATTTCCGTAGAAAGATTGACAGTTTCCAGTTGCACTATCAGTATTTTGCTGTCATCAATAGAGAGGTTTCTGCTCTACACGAAACGCACAGACGCACTGCAGGGAGCAGTTATCTGGGTTAGAGTCCACGGCGTCGCGAGTTTTGAGTCCAGATTTCGTTCACGGAGATGAGGGTCCCTAACTCTCTATGCGGTGGCACACGCAAAGGAAATTCGTGTGGATCTGCTGCGCGTCGTTGAAATTGCTTTAAGAAATTAATATAAACGTGGAAGTAAATCTAGCGTTGTAACGAGTTCCAATTCTTCGTTATGATACAGTTAACTGTTGAGACTGCAATGCCTCATACCAAGAGTACATGAAAACCAGAGTGTGCAGCTCGGATGGGTTGCTGTCACGGCGGAATTCCGTGATTACATCATTTTAGTGATGTAGTGCGTACAAGCAGGATTCAAGCAGGTCTCTTTCTGCACAACTGCAGCTCAGTTGTACGCACTACGCCATTTCCCGCCTCAGATCTGCACCAAATATGATGTAATCACGGAATTCCGCCGTGACAGACACCCATAGCAGAAACGGCCCCCAGCTGCACACTCTGGTTTTCAGGTACTCTTGCTCATACCGGTATGTGTTATGTGTGGATATGGCTGAAGACTGGAAGATCGTTAACTAATAACTTATCTTCTCGTTAACCTATGGATTTTGGACCATCGTTAACAATAACATGCCAGACAGTAGGAGACACACGAGCAGAACACCTCCAATGCTGAGTGCTTGTGCAGCTGTACCATACCGTCATACGGTTGGATTTTAATTGCCTGTGTGGGCGTGCGTGGGCATGTGTGGGTGTGAAGGGTGGCATGGTTTGATGGTGACCTCACCCACCATGCGGTTGGATTTTAATTGCCTGTGTGGACGTGCGTGGGCATGTGTGGGTGTGAAGGGTGGCATGGTTTGATGGTGACCTCACCTACCATACGGTTGGATTTTAATTGCCTATGTGGGTGTGTGGGCGTGTGTGGGTGTGAAGGGTGGCACGGTTTGATGGTGACCTCACCTACCATGCGGTTGGATTTTAATTGCCTGTGTGGGCGTGCGTGGGCATGTGTGGGTGTGAAGGGTGGCATGGTTTGATGGTGACCTCACCTACCATACGGTTGGATTTTAATTGCCTGTGTGGGCGTGCGTGGGCATGTGTGGGTGTGAACAAGAGTACATAACCCCCCAGAGTGTGCAACTCCCACATACCCTGTTGTCCCGACAGAATTTCAAGTTGACGTCATTATTTATGACGCAATGCTCCTTGCAGCAGTGATTTACAACATGTGTACGGGTGTCAACGCATCACACGTTTTTCTTTGCAATAATTTGTACAGGATCGATCGGCTTCGGTCAACCACAGGTTCCGGATTCGTCTGATAATCCGTGTACAGTGCGCATTGCATCATCAAAATGACGTCAACTTGAAATTCTGTCGGGACAGCACCCATAGTGGAGTTGCACACTCTGGGGGGGGGGGGGGGGGGGTTATGTACTCTTGGTGTGAAGGGTGGCATGGTTTGATGGTGACCTCATCTACCATGCGGTTGGATTTTAATTGCCTGTGTGGGTGTGTGGGCGTGCGTGGGTGTGAAGGGTGGCACGGTTTGATGGTGACCTCACCTACCATGCGGTTGGATTTTAAGTGCCTCTGTGTGGGTCCGTGTGTGGGTCTGTGTCTGTGTGTGGTATGTGTGTGGGTGTGCATGCGCGTCTGTCCGTATGCATCTGTGTGTGCGGCGTGCCTTGTTCTTTTCCCTGGACTGCTACAGGTCACCAACTGCTGTCCGCTCTGCAAGGCGCAGTTCAACAAAGTCGAAAAGGTGAGCCTGCAACACCGGTACTTGACATTCAAGGCAGACGTTGCTGTCATGAAAAGTAGACAGCGCATGAAAGCATTGCTGGTCATGCCTTTGCAGTTTTTTGGAGCGTGCCAGGGGATTTCCCTTTTGCCCTGCGCATGCATTATGGACATCAAATGAAGCGCGTGGATCTCAGCTTTGCAGAGCAGTTTGAATCGTGAAAATCGGTTGAATTTGAGCAAGGAGCCGAAAAAGAATTTGTGACTGAGTTGTTTCGTTCCGAGGCATGGTGGGCCAGTTTGGAGAGGTCATGGAAGTGGCCCTGGTGGAGCTGTGGAGCTGAGAGCTTCCAGGATGGATTCGCTTGGTCCTGATCTTTCCAACAAGCCCAGGATGAGGAAATTCCATCCAGGTGAACTGAAATGAGAATAAATTTGGTTCCGAGCAGTGCACCCAAACTCCACCAGGAGAGTCCGTACTCTGGAGTGCCAGATTCCTGTGGAAAACAGGCCAGCATGCAAAGGGTTAATTAGAAGTCTCTTCGGGGACCGATTTCTGTCAATACGATTTCCACGTAACAATTTCTGATAATTAGAATCCCATAGAAAGGGTATCAGGAGTTGCACACGCTTGGGGGCTTATATGCTCTTGATGGTATCTGTGTACTTATTCAGCATACTAAGCATTCTATATTACTTTCCCTGCCAGTTCTATCCTCATCTGCATCCGTTACAACACTCTGGATAATGCAGAGCACTCAAATCCTATAATATAGGATCTGTCAAAAACTGACGTGTCCTCTATAAAACACCTGATTATAAAAAAAAAAATTAAAAAAATTCGACGGGTTCGCGTACCGGGCAGGTCAAGAACAGGGAGTTGTCAAGAACCACTTTTCCGCTTCCGTGGGATGCCACCACCCCATGATCAGGCGTCAGATACCTTAGTTATAAGCCAAGCGATAATACTGGCACTCTTGAAAACTTCTGAAGAGAACCTAATGATGCTGCCCGAACACCTTACAATACAATTGAGGCACACAACTTATCCCGGGCGGAACCATGGGAGCTGAGTCGAATGGTCTTGGTCCGAGGAAGCTGAGATGCTCCGTTCCTCCTTTATTCCCAATCTAACTTGTACACGTCCACCGAAACTGGGTGACTTCGCCCTACTACTACTAGATGGGGCGAAGATGAGTTTAACTCGAGTGACAGGAAAGCGCCCGAACAGGCTGTAAGTGTATACATGGGATTTGACAGTTAAACAAGATAAGCCCACTGCGCATTGCCAAATATCAAGAGTACATAACCCAAGAGTGTGCAACTCCAGCTATGGGGTCTGCGACGGCAGAACTTCACATCACGTGATGAACCCGTGCACTCTAGTGCATGATAGATACTGGGTTGTACGCAGCCCAGCTTTGGGTACAACTCTCTTGTGGTCACTTTGCACTGTTTGCCAGCATAACCTTTTGAACCATGTCACGTGATGTGAAGTTCTGCCGTCGCAGCACAGCATAGAGGTTGTGCAGGCAGTTGCACACTCTTGGTTATGTACTCTTGCAAATATGAATTGCATGAGCAGTGCGTATGTGTACGCTGGTATCAGCAATGCACTGTGTTCAACACCCCCACACAACCATACCTAGGTGGCTGTTTGGGGTGTTGCCGGTACAAACGACTTCATTGTGTGTTGGTGTGTGTGTCTGTGTGTGTGTGTGTGTGTGTGTGTGTGTGTGACTTACGTCTAGACCACTCTGGGCGGCGAACGCGTGAAGGGATCGCGCTCACGCACTGTTAAGAACAAGCAGCAGGATGTCTGGTACGACTCGGACGCTGATTCTGACGACTCGGACACGGATATTGGCAGCGAACTGGGAGGCCTGTACAGGTCTGTGTTTGGTTTTGCGACCAACTTGCTCAACAATCTAGTGTCACAGCAACGGGTAAGCCGTCATGAGTATTTGTATCATGCTCGTGGGGAGGGGTGGGTTGTTTCTGGAAAGATTCTCTCTCTAGCGTTCTCTCTCTCTCTCTCTCTCGCTCTCTCTCTCTCTCTCTCTCTCTCTCTCTCTCTCTCTCTCTCTCTCTCTCTCTCTCTCTCTCCCTCTCTCTCTCTCGCTCTCTCTATCTCTCTCTCTCTCTCTCTCTCTCTCTCTCTCTCTCTCTCTCTCTCTCTCTCTCTCTCTCTCTCTCTCTCTCTCTCTCTCTCTCTCTCTCTCTCTCTGCTTGAGTGTGTGTATGTCATTCTCTCTATCTCTTTATTCTGTATCATAACACTTTCTCCCGCCCACTCAGCATGTACATGCATGTGCGCACACACACACACACACACACACACACACACACACACACACACGTTCCACCAGGACAAGCAATGTTCATAGCCCAAGCACATGCCGTGTCACTGTATGATCTTGTTGTCGTCACATAGCCACGATCTCGTCCCAGTTCCCATCGGGAGACTTATGACTTCAACGACTCCTTCATTAACGACAGCGACTCTTCAGAAGAGTGGTAAGTTTCCTTGGAATTTGGCACTTCTGCGTGCGTGTGTGTGCGTGTGTTTGCGTGTGTGTGTGTGTCGGCCGTTGGGCGGTTCAATAGCCAATTGAGTCATCTTTCCAAGATTCCTTCTGAGTCTCTCTCCCCTCTCCCGGGGAGACCCATGTGACCAGTTTTGGCAGTGAGCAACACGTACAAGTACAAGTGTGTGTGTGTGTGTGTGTGTGTCTGTATGTGTGTGCGTGTGTGTCTGTGTCTGTGTCTGTTGCCTCCACTCGGTCCATGTACCGATCACACATTCTACACGACTGCAATCATACCACCAAGATCTGGAACCACTGTCTCGGGCAGTGCTAGAGGAGAATATCTGCGGGCGTACACCCAGTGCACTCGCAGATTTGCGTGCTTCTCTTGCGACGGGCGTACATGGTGGTGGCGGTGTGCCTGCCTGCGCGCATATTCGAGAGGTTCCGCACTACGTAAAGGGGAGCAACTTTACGTTGGTGGGCGGGAAAAACCCGTGAATTCCCGCGTTTGCACTCCACTTGCGGAAAGTTGTCTACGTAGAGTACGTAGATAGGGCTCTGATAACGTAGCTGGTCCATAAGTGGATTAGGGTACGAATTTATGACTCTCTCTCCAGGTCGATCTGGTCGTACACTGCCGCGTTCGGAGTTGCCAAGGGCAGCTACGTGATTTGAAAACTCCGTAAGGCGGAACACAGATGCGCGTGCAGTTTACGTAAGACTTTCCGTAGATCGACTACGTGTTTTACTATGCGAAACCTCTCTAATGCCTTTATTTCCCCTGTGCACACGGCCTGTAGAAGTCTTGGTGAGCTGGGGACAATAGCTTTGGCCCAACAGACAAGATTCTATATCGTACACTCCAAAAGAAGTATAATTATAGTGCGTTGCAAAAGTCCAGATCTCTGGGTTTTTTTTAAACCGTTTGGCCAGCACCTACACCACCTAAAATCTGTAATCACTTTGTGCATAAAATTTCCGACATTGGGCGTTTGTTATCCAATCGCTTAGAATTTTTTATTTTACACGAGAAAAATTTGCGGGATATGCACAGGTTTTACTGTGGTATGTCATGGTTGAGTGTAAGCCCTTTGTTGACCCTGAAGTTGAGTGTAAAAAGGTGCGATTTATGCCGTGGTTGGCTATCACCCTCTCCCCTCTGATTGGCTGTTGTTTTTTCAGCTATGGGATGAAGCAATAAAAATAAAATAATTATAATATTGGGAGAAATACGGCACGGTGAATCCTGTCCAAGACGACCGCTCAAGGGACCTTCGAAATGTGGTCTCTGTTGCCAGGTGGTCTCCTTATCCAGGTTCGTTTGACTGCACATAGCATGCCGTCCCTTGGCCCAGGTGCAGTGGTCTTCTGGGACAGGTGGTCGCCTTGCCAGGTTTTACTGTGCATGCTTGAGCAGCTAGGTAAACTCCTGTAAGCTTTGATTGAATGGTGTTTTCTGAGTCTCCGGGGGTTTTTTCGTTGTGTTTTCGCTGCTTTCACGTGTGATGTGAAATGTTAGGGAGCAGTTTGATCACGCACCTAGTCAAGACGTGGATTCAGGTGAACTATCTATTGGCTTGTTGTTGTGTGGGTGTGTGGGTGTGTGTGTGTGATCCATAGACGGCGGTGGTGTTCGGATGCGGAAAACTTGGCCTCGCACGCGAAGCTTGAATTTGTTTGTTTTTGTTTGTCAGCGGTCTGTTGGATTTTTGTACACTACCAAGGGGAAATGATGGCGGTGTGTGTATCATGTTGGCGTTTTGATGGTTAGCGAGCGAGAAAGGTAGTCACTGATCATGTCGATATCCCTGAGACGTGCACAGTTCTCTTCATGGGCTGACCCACTCCCCTCCCTCCCGAATGAACAGTGCGTGCTATGGGCCGGCGGGCGATGTTAATAATGACAAGCCCTGCCATATTTCATGCAACCGTTGGTTGACATCCAACTTCGCTGTTTAGGTGACCCATGGCTTTCTTTATCGTGACGCGCCACGTGTACGACCGCCCAACTTGTGATAAATAAATAAAATAAAATAAATTTCACGGTTCGCGTGAGACTCGGCCGGAAACCGAGTTTTCCGCATCCCCCGCCGATGTGATAGGTAAGCTTCAATGCTTTTGTGGACATTGGAATGCGTTGAGACGTCAAGCGTCCACGGGCGGGCGCTGGCCTTGCCGCCGTGAGCACTTCTAGTCCAGTTTTACAGTTGTACAGTGTGTGTACATGCCATAGGCAGTACGGGTGCCAGCCCCGGTCTTCCCAGCGGATTTCATTTTCCACAGCCGTACTTCTACTGTAAACGGCATTATTCTAACGAGGCGCGTATATAACGATCTCCTAAAATTGACTGGTTAACGTTAACAAAAGGTAACGATTCTGACTCATTCTCAACGCTCAATGGCAACAGTATTGTATCTATTTGTGGATAACGATTTCTATTTTAACGACAGACCTCTCCGCGCTAACTCGTTAGAGTTAGCACTTCGTTACATATATGGCTTTTACAGTACTTGGCGTTCGGATTTCAATCAGGTTTGTCGTTACACCAGGCATATCGCCGTACGTATCATCGCAACATTCCAGGCTTTTGTTTTTACTGTCACTAGCCACCCCTCGCTTTCAGCATTATGTCGTTTTAATGATGTATACAGCAGTTCTATGTGTCAACACGCAGAGTGTGAGGTCGACGGCGCCCAGTGCACTTCCATACAATCGAGTGGATTTGCGCTGCGCGGAAATGACTAGCTTTCTGTGTACGCGCGCCCGCGCATGTCTGTGTGGGTTGTGTAAGGGGCCGTCCAAGGTTACCAATAATATTTTCAAAACGAAATGTTTTCGTTTGAGGGTGGGTGGGTTTGATGGAGTTTCGTTTTGAAAATAATTATTGAATGCTGATGGAGAATGCCCAGTTACTTCTGGGTGTCGAAAATTGACATCAATATTTTATTGGAATTCGTTTTACCTGCAGAAAAGGTGGGTGGGTGGGTGGGTGCTGAAAAATACTAAAACTTTTCGTTTTGTAAAAACAATCGGTAACCCCGGACGGCCCCTAAGTCTGTAAACAACGGAGGTATAGGCGCACAACGTGTCTGAGGTCCTTGCTGCCAGATAGTGCTCAATGCCCTAACAAGGGCAGAGCGCACTGCACATGGCAGAACACTGGAGACCAAAAAGCTTTCTCGTGACTCTGAGTTTCGTGTTAAAAACACTCATCAGACGTGTGTGTGTGTGTGTGTGTCCTTATCTTGCCTGCTCATGTGTGCCGCAGACATCGAAATCACATTCGACAGCGACGTGCCGCAGGTCGTGTCCACGACGACGACGACGCGAACGAGGACGATGACCGTGCGCGACGGACGGTACTCGTTGCGGCCAGCAAACACCGGCCGCAACATCGTGGCCCCGTCCAACACCCCGGCGGTGCCTTTGCCCGGTGACATGGAAGAGATTTCCTCTCAATTGAGGCGCAATGCCCGACGCATTGCTAATGTTCGCGCTGCCAGGTCATCCAGGTTGGCCAGGTCGTTAGGCACCGCCGTGCCCGACGACCTGGATGACGTTGACCTACAGACGGCCATCATGGAGTCGATGCGCGGAGCCGACGGTGCCCGCCCCACCAGCAGCATGGGCGCGGCAGGCCATTCCACCACCACGTTTTCCAGGCGAGGAGAGCAGACAGTGACGGCGGCGGATGTGGCATACCAACGACCCCGACGCGCACCGCGGTCCGTCGCCGCCCGGTCGGCCATGGGCGGCGTCGCTTCGTCGCCCGCCGTGTCCTTAAGTCGGGGCGGCGTCGCGAGCAGCTCACTCGCGCCCTCGTCCTGCGCCCGTACCGAAGCCTGCGGCGGCAGCAGGACTAGACTAGGCGTAGGAGGTTTGCGTGGTGCGTCCCCAGCAGCAGCAGCATCGTCTACGACGGCGGCGTCGCACAGCGGTGCTCTCCGCAACGCCGAACAGCTCAATCGTCCCCGCCGCGCTGCCCTCGCCTCTCTCGGCGTCAGTTCTCGTGCCGCGGACACGAGGGCTGCTCCGGCAAGACAGCTGTATAGCTGGCAATCTCCGTTGGTCACAGGACCCTTCGAGCGTCGATCCATGGACAGCGATGTGTTTCAACAGCTGTATGTCTTTGAGGCTGAAACTACGGGCGCCACTGTGGACGTCAGTGAAGTCGACAGCAGCAGCATCAGTGACAGCAGCAGCAGCAGCAGCATCAGTGACAGCAGCAGCAGCAGTGATAGCTGCGAGGTCAATGATACCGACAGCGACGCCGACGCCCACATGGACGACGTTGCGATCGTGGCGGAGCCCCAGGTGCCGCATAACCATCTTACCACACGCCAGCAGGTGGCCACTGCCACTGCTGCAGCAAAAGCGGCTGCAGTAGCTGCAAATGCAAGGGCAGCGACAGCTCGCTGCTACATGTCATCTGCTGGCGCGACTGGCCGCCGCAATCATCGACAGCGCCCGACAGCTACAGAGCCAGCGGCATCATCTCGTCAAGTCAGCTCCGGCTGGCTGACGCGACCGAGCAACGGCGCTACAATGCACTTGTTGCGGCATCACCGCCGTCCGAGGCCGGCGTTCGACGAGCCGTCGACCTCGCACGTCCATCAGGCTTCCACCGAGGTCTGCGTGTCGACGTCGCCGATGCCATTGCCGTCTTCTCCGTTTTCTTCTTGTTACGACGACTCCGGGTCGGAGCAGAATATGCCGCGGCGGTCTCGGCCACTCACACCTCTCCGCTCATCGCACCGAGGACCTTATCCGACTACCTGGCGGAAGGAGCAGTGTCATGTCGACCCTGCCTTCTTCTCTTCACCGTCGTCCAGCACCGGCTCGGTGCAATGCGTCACGCCCAGTCCCACCATCGGGCGTGCTGTCGTCAGTAGCGGCCTGCGACGTGATCGCTCCATGCTAGAGGAGGCGGACGACGAGGAGGTGGACTTGCACGTGGTGCCCGACTCCGTCGAGGAAGCAACACCCGCTAGCGATGGGCAAGTTGTCCTTGTGGCAACGCCCACTAATGATGGGGAAGTTGTCGTCGTGACAACGCCAGAGCTACTGCCCAAGGTCGAGCCGACAGGTCAGCCGAGTCGGAGGAGGCGCCTGCCATTCGGTCTGGATTTGGACAGCGATGATGACCTGGAATTTGCCAGGTTTGGACAGCGATGATGACCTGCCATCCGATCTGGCTTTGGACAGTGATGACGAATTACCTGGTATAGGCCGACTTTGGACAGTGATGATGAATTACCTAATCCATGTATAGGCTACAGGACATATCTACACTTGACACTTGCTTGGGTCGACTTATCTGAATTGCATATGCAGTTCTCCAAAAAAATGGAAGTGATTCTGTTTTGTGTGTTTTGCGCACACCGTGTACATGCATGCTCACGCTGCTAAGTATCATGCAGACATGGGCACGTTGTGTTGTCGATTGCCCGGAGAAGTCAAGTAGCTGTATCAAATCCAACCCTCTCTCGCGCTACGATTCCTCTTCATCTGTGTGTGTGAGCGTGCTTCGCTTTAAATATCTTGCGTTCGCCCAAAAAAATGGAACCGATTATTTCGGGCGTTGTGCACGTGCCTTGTGCACGCTCACTATGCCAACTATCATAATACAGACATTGGCACGCCGTGTCGTCAATTACCGTGAACCCTTTAACCTCTACAGGGCTATGCCAGTCAGCCACTGGACGAAATTCTAAAAACATGGCGAATGGCCAGCTCCACGACATTTTTTAACAAGTCTAACCAACTCGTGCTACGATTCCTCTTCGTCTGTGTGCGCTTCGTTTGCACGTATCTCTCTTTCTTTCTCTCTTTCCTTCTTTCATGCTGGCCGGAATGGCACGCTTCTGGCATGCTGTCAATGGAGAGCATGTGACACGCTGTATATGTATACGTAGGAATATTTGTTCCTTTTTCAGAATCTGTTTCCACTGCTGAGTGCCAGCAGTGTCGAATCCAAACGCTACCCGCCGTGACAATTGCAGTGTTTTGTTTTGCTTTTTGGCTAGCGTATCAGTCCCAGCTGTTGTGCTGTCGTGCTGTTGTTGTTTTTTTTAATGTGGAGCTCGAAATCACTTTGCTCACTTGTCTTTCTGCTGGTCTTAAAAATGCGACAGTTCAACCTTTATCGCCGGGAACCCTCCTGGCTACCACAATGCTCGTGGATTTGCTTGTACAGTGGCGTTATGCGCTGTAGTTATAGTAGCCCGTAGAAATTGCTCCTACTTCCCACTTCTTGGATTGTATTTTGAAATTGCTTATCGGCTCGCTGGGTCTATCTCCACCTCTGAGATACCATTACTGGCGTCAACGCGCAGTTACTATTAGTACAAGTACTCATGTAGTCTGTTTCTTGCGCTGCTGCTGTTGTTTCAGAGCCCCGCGTTGCGATAATTATAAAATCATTGCCTGGTGCACACCGCTTTCATGGTTACAACGACCCCTGAAACTGCTGAATCCAAACGCTTCCATCCCGCCAAGGTTTCAACGTAGTCTGTTTCTTGCGCTGCTGCTGTTTCGGAGCCCCGTGTTGCGATAACAATCATTGATTGGTGCATACCGCTTTCATGGTTACAACGACCCCTGAAACTGCTGAATCCAAACGCTTTCTTCCCGCTACCGTTTCGATGTTTCTTTTTGGACCCGTCCGGATTTTTCTGCTGCATGACTGTGCTTGTTCTTGGCTGCACTGTCTATGAATAATCGAGAGTGTTGCAGTCGAGTAAACCCACTTGTTGGCTGTATGCACCTAAGATGCCCGTCACCTTTTTTGCGGGGCAAGTTACCCTTTTACTTGGCAGGTCGCCAGGTACAACCCGTTTATATAGTGCATTTATGAATATGACCTCACAAAGTTCATGACCTTTTATGCAGAGTTGGTATGACAGTGTGTACGGTTGTAGTGGACTTGCCATGCAAAACCAAACGGCGGGAACTTGATGCATTTCCCGTTCCCGGAATATCTGGTGGATCTCCCTGTCCGTGACCCTAGCTACTGAAAGTAAAGCGATCAACTTTCGCGCGTCACGCACATTTTGCGTTCTCAAAGAATTCCGCAGGTTCACGATAAGAACGTTCGCGATTTCGTCTATTCATTGGGATCTTGTACTGTCTGCAATCTACGCACAGAGCATTCTGCGGCAATTTTGTATCCGCGAATGTGGGATGGTCGCGAAAATAGCGAAATTTAACCTAGCAAAAGTTTCTCACTTTGTTACTTTAGCCTTTAGTACTCTGTACAGTAGCTGGCGTCAAGACTCGCTACTGTACAAACTGTTAAAGCGTGAAATTTTCGCGGCATTTTTAGTTCGCGTTTTCAGAATCCGGACAGGTTTGCGAGGTTTTTAATTTTGCGATTGCAGAATGGCATTCTTGCTAAACCTTTCATGGATCTCCTTTTCGCGCAGTCTAAATTTCGCGATTTCCACGCGGTCGCGAATTTCGCAGAAATTAGACCATCGCAATAACTTCAAGGTTTACAGTACTGTAAAAAAAACGGAAAGTCTAACCAGTCACAAAGTCTAACGTTTTAACGACCATTTTTTTCCTTACTAGTATTTGAAGAAACGTTATCGCGAACCCGGTTTGAGATGTCTGTGTAAAGATCATGCGCATACAGAGTCAGATGGGTGGCCAGGTAGCCATCGTTAGACTTTCTGCACGTTATCATGCCAAAATTACAAAAAAAGTTCAACTTTTTGGGCGTTAAAACTTTCCGGTTTTACAGTACTTTGAGAACGCTATTGCATGGCCGTGGCAATATCCACAGAGCTAGAGATCGCCTTTATCCGCGAAAATCACATAATTCACACTTCTACCCGCGGAATCTGAGACTCAAACGGAGATTGGCTATTGAACAGCCCAACGGCCGACATCCCCTGAAATCCCCAAACTCTGGATGGACTTGGAAAATGATCCCGCTTACGGGCTCACCACACCTCGGTAAGGATGAGGTGCTGAAAAAGGATTGACGGCATCAGGGTATCCGTCCTGGGATCCAACTGCAGTTGCTAGTGGTTACCCCTGCCCCCAGTGCGGGTATTACGTGGTACTAGTGTGGGTGGCTAAATCAGAGTGGATCTGATACAAGCTTCACTAGCACCATTGATTACACAAGAAGCAGTCCATGGTTAATTGACAGGTATGTAATGTATACTTCAAATAATAAAGTATATGAACCCTGAAACCAACAAAGGTGGCAGGTACAACATTACATCTTCAAGCAGCCGAGCCTGTTGGCAACAGACCCAACACTATCTGGGATTAGAGTACCCACCAACCGAACTAGCTGGCACCACACACCACACACGCATGCACACACGCATGCACACACGCATGCACACACGCATGCACACACACACACACACACACACACACACACACACACACCTCAGACCTGCCCATCGCGGAAGCGATGATAGCGAACAGCTATGTTAGACATAGCAACATACAAACACACACACACACACACACACACATACAGCAAAACACCGCCAGCATCTCAATAAGCTCAATGCTCGTATCAGCAGACACAACAGTCTCATGTCGATACACCTTTTTATTTATTTTTAATATACAATCAAATTTTGCCCGAGACGTTGCAGCACGCCCGATAGAATAGATCAAAGAATGATTTTATCCAGAAATCCAGCAGGAACACGAGAATGCAGTGAACCCATATCCAAAGAGAGAAAAGGAATAACAATGGATCTCTGGCATTGTGCAGCAGCGAACTGAGATCCTTCGAACTTCGCCGCTACCGTATAATTATGACGAAGATAAAAAAGAAGAAAATCATCAACCCTGAGACGCAAATAAGCCGGTACCGCAGAACACAACAACAACACAACGCCGGTGGGGAGACCTGCGATGTGAGATTTGTAGCGAGCTGCTCTTGAGTTTGAAGCAGTATCAACAGCGGACGTGGAACAGCGGATATACAGTTAAAAACATGAGGGTACAGACAGGGAGGGGGGGGGGAGACAGAGCGAGAGAGAGAGTGTGTGTGTGTGTGTGAGAGAGAAAGAGCGAGAGAGTGACAGAGAGAGAGAGAGCATGACGGGAGGCACGAGAGCGGAGGGAGCGTAGCGAGGTGCGAGCGCAGACAACTACAGCGAGAGAGCAAGACGCAAATTTGGACAACTAAAAGCGGAACAGCTCAACATGTCGCCCGTGGGTCTTTGGCCCACACCGATGGGTGTTAAACACAGCTGCTGCATTGGCAAGTTTAAATACTCCTTAGCGCCCACGATGCAAAAATGCAAAGCGCAAGCCAAGGATTATGTCCATAGCTGGCCGAGCAGCAGGTGAAAATGACAGGCGAGAAAGGACCGGGCGGGAATTCAAGTTGGAGTTAAAAGCGGCGTTCTGCCCTGGACTATCTGTGTAGTCACATCTCTTCCTGCGTTTTCCGTACGCATCTCTGAACGCGCCGCTTGAAGCTGTCAAAGTTCTCGCGGTACTCCTTCTGCAGGTTCAGAGCATAGACCAACACAAAACGAAATGTCACCCAACGAATCTGAGAGCCCACAACCCCCTAGGCTGGCAGGGTACTGTAAAACCGGAAAGTTTAACGACCAAAAAGTTAAACATTTTTTTGTAATTTTGGCATGATAACGTACAGAAAAGTTTAGCGATGGCTACCTGGCCACCCATCCGTATGCGCATCTTTACACAGACATCTCAAACCGGGTTTGCGATAATGTTTCTTCAAATAACGGAAAAATTGGTCGTTAAAAGTTAAAACGTTGGGCTTTGTGACTCGTTGGACTTTCCGGTTTTACGGTGGTTGATTTCGACAACACATCCAACAAGGCAGAAGCAGCAGAAGCATCAGCAGCAGAGGCAATACCAGCAGCATCACACACACACACGCGCACACACAGGCACCGACTCACCGCCGCGTCGACATTGGCCGGCGAGTCGCAGTTGGGGTCGGAGAGCATGGCGATCACGCTCATGACGATCGTCTCCACCGTGTGAATGGGCAGCCATCGCTCCGACGCGCTCTCGTAGCCATAGCGATCCTCACCGGGCTCATGCAGGATACTGATACATACCTCGCCATTCTTCTGGTCAACTGAAACAACACACATAGAACAACAGTAACATCCACATGCATATTGCATACATACCGAATGACAAATTATGACATCATCATGATGTCACTCACTAAGCTGCATGCTCATTGCTCAACTGTAATAACATCATGGGGAAGCTGTGCCAAACAAATTGAAAAAATAATAACCTAGTGCAATGCCTGCCCAAACACACACACACGCACACGCGCACACACGCGCACAAACACACACACCACACACACATACCAATACAATGAGAACCACTTGGTATCATTGTAATCGCGGTCCAGTAATGTAACACTCAATGATAACAATGCACTTTTTAAAAGTGAGGGTGCATGCGAGTGCGAGTTTAGGCGCTGCATCTGCGCCTTTGATCCTAGAGGGTGGTGGCGTTCCCACGGCGGATGCGGAAAACTCGGCTTCCAGCCGAGTCTCACGCGAACCGTGAATTTTTTTTATTTTATGCGAGTGCAACAAAAGCCAATTCGTCGCGCAAATATTATTATTGTGTGTGTGTGTGTGTGTGTGTGTGTGCGTGTGTGCGTGTGTGGAGGGGTAACTGCAGTTGGATCCCAGGACGGATACCCTGATGCCGTCAATCCTTTTTCTGCACCTTGTCCTCACCCACTTACTGAGGTGTGGTGAGCCCATAAGTGGGATCATTTTCAAAGTCCACCCAGAGTTTTGGGGATTTCAGGGGGTGCCAGCCGTTGGGCGGTTCAATAGCCAATTGAGCCATCTTTCCAAGATTCCTTTTGAGTCTCTCTCCCCTCTCCCGGGGAGACCCACGTGACCAGTTTTGGCAGTGAGCAACACGTACAAGTACAAGTGTGTGTGTGTGCACGTGTGAAAGAGAGAGAGAGAGAGAGAGAGAGAGAGAGAGAGAGAGAGAGAGAGAGAGAGAGCGAGAGAGAGAGAGAGGGAGAGAGAGAGAGAGAGAAAGAGAGAGAGAGAGAGAGAGAGAGAGAGAGAGAGAGAGAGAAAGAGAGAGAGAGAGAGAGAGAGAGAGAGAGAGAGAGAGAGAGAGAGAGAGAGAGAGAGAGAGAGAGAGAGAGAGAGAGAGAGAGGTAAACAGACACCATAATATTGATTGAGAACACCATAACATAATAAATTCCTAGCAAACAAACCATTCGGGTGCCAGATATCTGACTGAAAGTTCATCTTGGGCGGGCGCTGAGGATACTCCTTGGGAAATGACAAGTGTGCCTTGAAGAAACCACCCTCGCTGAGAGAAACAAACCCTTGTCAAGGAAGATAGGATTACCGTCGAACATAACAGCAGATTTCCTTGAAAACAAGATTTTCATCACTTCCTGAATGCACTGAGGTGCCCTTTTTTCACTGACGTGAAATTGTCAGCACCGTCGAGTCACAATTATGTTCGTTCCAGTGCTTATTTCTAGAGTGGAATAAAATCTAATAGCAAATCTAATTTTCTTTGACCGGAGTTTAAAAATCAAATGAAAAAGATTATAGACACTAAATACCGTCTGCATGAAGACTTTCTTCAAAGGTTTCAAGAACACGACATGCCAAGTGCCCGATTGAGTAGGAAAAAAAAAAGAATGCGCCCAACGTGGGGCTCGAACCCACGACCCTGAGATTAAGAGTCTCATGCTCTACCGACTGAGCTAGCCGGGCTGCCACAATCACCAAGGTTGTGGTACTGTGTTTGGGTAAGGTGGGGAGAGGGCGCGAGTGGAGAACAAGAACATTGCAGGACTGTACAGTAAAACCAAGGGTGCGTTTGGTTGGTACGATCTAGAACAGGATCGAACAGCTGGTGCACATGGAGCAGCCTCATGCCAACCAAACGCTACTCCAGAAACAGAGCACATTTTTGTGGAAAAATGTGCAAAACTTGGTGCATTCTTCAAAATGTGTATGGATCACCATGGTCACTTTGTACGGTACGACGAGTCCAACCCAAAAGCGTATGCACGTGATCATTTGGGAACAAAATCGATGTTCCCGCCAGGTTTCACTGTGAAAAAGTGAAACTGCTCGGTCTGCTCCGGCCTCGAGGCCGGAGCAAGCAGAACATGTTCTGGCCGACCCAGAACAGGTGCAGTCCCAACCAAACGCGCTGTTCTGGTGAATCCTGTTCTAGTTCGTACCAACCAAACGCGCCCCAAGAGTCCATAATAATCCCCCAGAGTGCGCAACTTCACTGATCAGATCTGGGACGGCGAAATTCATGTTGCACGTCACAGCACGACATCATGAACAGGGGAAGTGTGTTCGGGTGGCGGACCGCGTCGACGGAAGGACGCAAGTCCGACCCCTAAAAATGAAATTAGGTCCGAAAGTCACCCCGTCACGGACCGTGCCTTATGACTCGCACCGTTCGCTGTTGAACATCGCAACCACTGCTGCATGTCGTGTTGTACGAATCGTACAAGATCTTACAGCTCACCCCCGTAACGGGGGGGGGGATTGATTACTTTAGGTAGTATATCAAGTATTGTCAAGTGCTGTACAAAGGTCATGCACAACAAAGCAAACAAATAGACTTGGCACGCTGGACTGTGCACATGTTCGTCCTGCACTGGCACGTGTAGTGTAGCGCAGTGCATGCATGGCTTCAACGCCATAACAATTTCACTGTATATGCCAAAGTCCTGGGGGGGGGGGGGGGGGGGCGAAATTTTAGAGGGGGTTGTTCAACAGTGCTGTACTTTATTGTACATCTACAGTCAACTTCGCTAACAACGACTGCGGATATAACGACAATTCGCGAACAATGACAGAATTTCCATGCCCAGAACAAAGTCCCATCCAACTGTAATACATATAATGAGACTTCGGGTATAACGACACTTCACGAATAAGGACACTTTTCTGATGCCCCGCTGAGTGTTGTTATACGCGAAGTTGACTGTATTCGCGAACAATGACAGAATTTCCATGCCCAGAACAAAGTCCCATCCAACTGTAATACATATAATGAGACTTCGGGTATAACGACACTTCGCGAATAAGGACACTTTTCTGATGCCCCGCTGAGTGTCGTTATACGCGAAGTTGACTGTATCTCACAGTAAGATCCTTGACAGCAGGTCAGAGTGCTCAATGAGAGCTCTCTCTCTCTCTCTCTCTCTCTCTCTCTCTCTCTCTCTCTCTCTTTCTCTCTCTCTCTCTCTCACACACACACACACACACAGGGTCCAGTGCAATGATTGGTCTTTACTTCGAGTTGCTAGCTGCACACGATCACCAGGAGACCCTGGGGCAGGGGCGTCGGACACGCTACGGTCTTGACCATAGCACTATTTGCCTCCAGGTACCCGGTGAATCAATAAAATGCCCTGATTCGGGCTCTAAATTTTCAGCAGAGGACCCGCTCCCTCAGGCTCGAGTATACCTCAGATGGCTGACCGTACCACCCTGGAATACCTTGCGACACCCCTATGATGATTGTGTAGAGCAGGCAACTCAGGAGTAGAGACCAATTATTGCACTGGACATGTTGTGTGCGCCTCACAGTATGCTATATGTACAGGGAAACCTGTCCAAGACGACCGCTCAAGGGACCTGAAAAACGTGGTCTCTGTTACCAGGTGGTCTCCTTATCCAGGGTAATTTGACTGGAAATAGCATCCCTTGGTCCTGGTTCCAGTGGTCTTCTAGGACAGGTGGTCGCCTTATCCGAGTGGTCGCCTTGACAGGTTTCACTGTGTATCCAGTAGGTGATGATTTCCACTGAGGTTAGCTTCGTTGGAACAGCTACATGTACACGAACAGGTTTAACTAATGGTGAGCATAATTGTACTGTAAAAAGTAAAAAGGACCAAGGAACTACAAGTTGCACTATAATGTCCACTGACACCACCAGTTACTAAACAATCAGCTCATGCGATAACATTGCACGACACTGACCGATATTGTCCAATGGCCTTGCCAGTATCGTCATCGACATGCATGAACATCCGCCAACGTCCTTCACAGCTGAGATGTTCAGCTCGTGCTTATCTTGGGTGCGCTCACCTTCCCCTCCTTATGCTATTTCTATAGCTTAGAACCTTCCACGTTGGAACAGGCGCGTGCACCGTATCAGTTTTTTTGGTGTCTGGAAACCACCTTTTTTTGGGCAATCTTGCCGAAGGAAAAGCATGCCTACTCAGTACTGGATTGGTTATCGTGCATACGCGTTGATCGACGGGCAGTTTACAGTACAGTGACTATGTCCGTATTTCGAAGTGAGAGAGAGTTGCTTTGCATGCAGTTCAAAATACATTATTCTCTCCTTCTTCAGTGGAGAGTAGCCACAGAGAGATGGATCTCTAGCTCTGGTCCGCTCCTGGATTGGCGATGATGTTCAAGAAATCCGTTTTTGTCTCGAAATTTGAGTCAAGCACGCGCGATGCAAGTCAGTTCAAGGATATGATTGGCGATATCTCCTTCCAAACTGGTGACTCAAATCAAGATCTCCACAGCCTTTCGTTCTCGCTCATGTGCGCAGCAGAGATGTTCGTCAAAAACGTTGTCGACTGGAAGACGTAAAACGAATAATGTGCGTCCATGATCCACTTGCGCTGCTTCAGAACGAAGCGCTGCTCCGGCCGCGACTCAAGGACGCGTGGCTTCGCTTTTCTTCCGAGAGTTTCCATCGAAGCAAGGTCCATAACTCTTTATTGAAATCATGTGGAACGTTGCCAATACATGCTGAAAACGTCGTCATAAGAACAGAAAGAAAGATACGTCGAATGTAAGCAGTGTTTTGATGAAACGAACATGCCTGGAGCTGGAGTGGACTATGTACTAGTGAAGTACCATAGACATAGTGTTACGGACTGTAGTGTAGCCTCGACGGCTAGGCCTATCAAACCTTTACGTGTTCAATATGACAAACATGTATGAGTGCATTGACCTTCGCACCCTCTTTGCAAATAAGTGCTGGTATGTTAACCCGTTTTATCCTGCTACCGGTTATACATGTACCAACATTTCCATGTAACATCGTCCCCTCCCTTCATTCCTCATTATTTATTTCTGTCCTTTCTACCCCTGGACCTGGTTCCTGGTTCCCTCTCAGACGCGTTTGTGCCGGCATGATAGCACATTAGCAGTCGGAGGAGCCCCACATCTCATCAGCACCAGTGTTCATTGGTGCCCTGCACCCCTGATCTTGAGCCCCCACCCCCCTCCTCCCTAGCCCTCACCGTTATCTCTGACGGGATGTTCGGGGGATGCGCATGTGCACAAATGCATAATTATACAGTGGGTCTCCAGAAAAAAATTACCAACTCTAGAAACCCCCCTTTCAAGACTCGGTGCATGCCACTGTGGAAGGCTGTTGGAGTGCGCATCCAAGATGTGCTAGAGCTGTTAGCCAGTTAGTTGTAGAACGTCAGTACCGTCGGTCAGTGTCGTGCAATGTTATCGCATGAGCTGATTGTTCAGATGGTGGTGTAAGTGGACATTATAGTGTAACTTGTAGTTCCTTGGTCCTTTTTACTTTTTATAAATTAATCCTTGGCTCTCTATCCGAGTTCATAATTGTACTGTATTAGCACTAAACACACACACAGCTGCAAGGATACTAGAGCGTGTCAGGTGGGCCAATGATCATCACTTCCCATTTGTAAATGTCATCATCGTCAAGCAGACCGGCCGAGAAGCCATCCACGGGATTTTTGTTCAGCTCTGCAAGATCCACACAATACAACACGAACAAGGAGAGGTGTGTCCACGCTGACAAGTCAAATCAAGCGTCCAAACGTACTCCCAGCCTCATTTTGTCCACCCAGGCGACAGCTAATGCTCAAGAGAATTAGTGATTGGGGATAGAGCGTACCTTGAAGCTGCTTGCGAAGCAGTAGCGATCCCTGATCCGTCATTGGGGAAGCGTTGCGATGACACGAAGCCTACGCCAAGCTGAATTGCTCCGAACAGAAGTCGAAAATGCTATCTCCCAGAACATACACACACTGATCACACTCCAACAAACAAGAATTGTTGAATCTCTTCAAAACTCCACACGTCACTGAACAACCACGATCCAGTCGATCACATTATTTTTTAGTAGAAAAAGGTTTGCGTCATGCCTGAAATCATGACCAGCGCGCCTCAAAACCGGGCTACGGGTTTGTTACGGGCGGAAGTGGATTGAGTACGAACCCGAATGGGAGATATCTTGCGATGAATATTCATGAAACAAAGACCAAAATCGTGACCAAATCGCATGTTTCTAGTAGTCATGGCAAATATGGCGCAAAACCAGATCCTTTTGGCCTTGTTGTGACGTCAGAAGTAAAATGTGTAACAGTAAAAAGATCAGATTCGGCAAAACATGTGGCAAAAACAACTGTAAAAAAAAGAATGCTTGAGAGAGGAGGTCGAGGTCACGTCATGCCACCGCGTACCGCGTACCGCTCAGTCACGTCATCGACGTCAGTGCGTGGGACAGAGTGTTCCAAGAATCAAGTCACCAGATCGCAGTGCGTCATCATCCACACAGATTTTGAAGTGGTTTTGGGCCATGCATATGCGCATGATGAACAACAAGAAGTGTCATTGTGACATTGATAGCAAGAGCTGTTCGGTTGTTGTGCCTATCTACTGTCTCGTCCCTCCATCCAACGTCCGTGATCCAATTTTTTTAAACCCTGCTAGTGTAGCTTTACAGCCTTTAGCACTTTCCTTCTCTCAGGGGTACACGTCGCATCGTCGCAAGGGTATTTTCCAAAAGAAATTAGTCCAAATCGTACGTGTTGAGTTCAGCTCTGGCTCAGGCAAGTCAGAAAAAGTGGCTGTGAAAATGAAGAACGAAGGTATGTTGTTCTCTTGCTACTGTTGTTGTTGTTCTCTTCCATTCTATGTAGGCATGTGCACTTTCATAAAAAACGAGAGAGCTTGGAAGCTCAGGGCCCAACGCTATGCTTTGCCTAGCTCATCATCCATGTTATTAGAACTGATGGAAATGGTTTTTTTTCCATTGATTGGCTACATCAAACTTTCTCTTTGCATTCGAGGGTAATACGACACCGTCTACCACCTTGATGACCTAGGCAAAAAAAGCATAGGGATGTTATGAATTTTTCATTTCTCCTATTTTTTCAAGACATAACCTGGAATCCGAACCCACACTATCGCTCTGCATGCATTCCCCCGATACACTTCGCATACATACTCATTCTTCCAAGTTGCTTCACGTTATGATCTTGCATTTGAAAGCCTTATTTGAATATTGTGGCCAGCTGTCTTTGATGGTACGGTACGGGACGGGACAGGCATGGGATAGCGCCAGGCATGCCGATGGCACAAACAAACAAACAAACAAACAAACACGGGATTAAAGCTGTGTGGACCCTGGCTAGCGCCAGACGTTACTGAAGTAACGTATTTTGCATAGCTACAGGAATAAAAATAAATGTTATGTTGTCCAGTGGCCCACGTCTACCCATCCGCTTCAGACACACAGACTACTCGGTGTCTTTTGACTTTTGATGCGCTTTGTGTGTCGAGCGAAGGGGATGCATTCTTTTGTCTTCTTGTTGTTGCTGGATGTTGTACAAACCATACTGAGTCCTGGTGGGGGCACTAATATTTCCCTCTATTAAATATTTAGGAAACTTCACTTCTCAACTCCAAAAACGGTCTCTTCATTCCGAATCATCAGGGTAATGATCCTGATGATGGGCCAGGCCCGAAAATCTGGTGTAATAATGTAAATGTAAATCTTAATTTTAATTTTAATCGCAGTGAAGAGACCGTTTTGGAGTTGAGAAGTGAAGTTTTCTAAATGTGCAAGTGGCTGCGTTGGAGTTTGCGGACAGTTACAAGACTCTATTAAATATTACGAAGTAGTGTGGGGAGCAAACCCTTTCTATTAAATATTCCCTTTTTTCTCATTCAACTCCCTCAAACTATTGAATATAAGTTATAATTCACGCTAAAAACATTTGCGCCATGATGCAGTCATTTACACTTTGCTTTGTGGGTATATAAACCAGTACTGATCCAGATTTCTCACTACTGTTTTCTGATGATCGCTTAGTGCGTGAAACTCAGAGTTAAAACACTTTCTCTGTCCTCTTATTATTGTTTGAAATTCACGCTATTAAATTAGTTACGCAGCAGTTCTTTGTCCCCATCAATTCGGATGTGGCAAATGGGATTGAGGCCTTTGGCCTCTGGTTGGTGGATCTGATCTATCCTCCCCCACCGTTTAGGAGCCGCATCTGACGCCTGATCATGGGGTGGTGGCGTCCCACGGAAGCAGAAAGGTGGTTCTTGACCTGCCCGGTACGCGAACCTGTCGATTTTTTTTAAAAAGTTTATCAATTCAACAGACGTGTAAAACGAGCAGTTGCTCATGAGAACTGTGTTCACAAATGGAATGATAGAAATAGGTGTGAGCACAGGTGGGCTTTAACACACACATGCAGGCAGTGCATGATTAAAGGGGAAGTTAAGGCAAAAATTAAAATTTCACCAGTTGTAGTCTTCGGGGTGCTGAGTCGAATGGTCTTGGTCCGAGAAAGCTGAGACGCTCCCTTCCTACTTGAATCCCAATCGAACTCGCGCACTTCCACCGAAACTGGGTGACTGCGCCCTACTAGATGGGGATTTGTATGCAAAATGTCACTAAAAGCGCCATTTCGTTCTTATAAAAGCACGGATGACCGCGATTGGTCCATATGTTGTAGTCTTTTGGACGCTGAGTCGACTGGTTTTGGTCCGAAAAGGCTGCGATGCAGCGTTCCTCCTTTATTCCCAATCGAACATGGTTGAACAAGCGGTCACGTGCTCCTGGGTTCCCAAATCACCTGGTCACCACGCCAGCAGGCGACAACTTTCACACCAAGGTTCAACTCGAGTGACAGGACTGCACCCAAAAAAGGTCAAACAGGCTAGTAAGTTGTACCCTGCAAGCACGGTGACCAGGTGACTGGCGTACGCAGGAGCACGTGACCGCTTGTTCAACCATGTTCGATTGGGAATAAAGGAGGAACGCTGCATCGCAGCCTTTTCGGACCAAAACCAGTCGACTCAGCGTCCAAAAGACTACAACATATGGGCCAATCGCGGTCATCCGTGCTTTTATAAGAACGAAATGGCGCTTTTAGTGACATTTTGCATACAAATCCCCATCTAGTAGGGCGCAGTCACCCAGTTTCGGTGGAAGTGCGCGAGTTCGATTGGGATTCAAGTAGGAAGGGAGCGTCTCAGCTTCCTCGGACCACGACCATTCGACTCAGCACCCCGAAGACTACAACTGGTGAAATTTTAATTTTTGCCCTAACCTCCCCTTTAACACATTACTGCAAGACCGGTAATGTTAACGAACATTTTATTCTAACGATTTAGCGAATTCAAAAAATTCGTTAACATTGGAGTTCGTTATGTAGAAAACGATATGTACATGTACAGTCATTTGGCAGTTTTTAGACGGAATTCTACCCCCCCCCCCCCGGTGCCCACCGACACCCAGACGGACACCCAACACTCGGCGAAACGATAGCGAGTGCCGTCAACAGCTGCATGTTGTTCTGTGGTGTTGCTTGCCGTGCATGCTTTCAGACGTGCTCACCGAGTTCAAGGCCATTCTGCGCAATGAGCCTCACATCTCCGCCGCCGTGGCCGCCATCAAAATCCTCAGCCTCTACATCGAGAGCAGTGAAGGTGAGTTTGTAGCCGAGCATGTGCCCTGTGCGTCTGGGTGTGTGCCTGCGTATTGTATTGTTATTGTATATTTTATTTACGGATTCTCCAGTGGTAAATGGATACCTATCTTGGGAGTCTCTCCAAACCAATAGATAGACAGGACCACGACGAGGGAACACATGGCGGGGATGACGATTGGGTGGCGGGCAAGTCCAGTTGCGATAAGGCGCGTGGCGTGGCATTGTCGGCAATGAAAGGCGGTGCTGTGGAACGTCGGTGTCGAGTAAGGCGTCGAGCTGGGCGGATCGGTCGTGGTCGTGGTCGTTGTTGTGTTCGTTGCTGTTGTTGTCGGCAGCAGTTGTTCGGCATGTGTTGTCGCGGTGACTGAAAGCCTCGTAGCGTGAGGCGCCGGCGGATCGCTGTAACTAGTCCTTCCGCCGAGGGAGCCCGCTGCGCAAATTCGAGCTGGCGACAAGCGGCATCCAGGCGCGACGGCCTGAGGAGCGTGGGTGCCGAGGGCGCTGGTGGTAGTACCGGCGTCAACGGCGATGGTGGTGACGGCGCTTGCCGGTGTAGTCAAAGAAGGACTACGACTACAACTACTCTTGCTACAACTCACTTTTTTTTAATACATACTGTAAACCATGTAATTTTAGGTGCATTAAAATTTCGGTGCCAGGGACCTGCCAGGTTTCAGGTGTAATGTAGAACTAGGTGACCAGCGTGCCCTTCACCTCCAGTACATACTCTAGAGCCGTTTAGGTATCATCTAAATTTAGGTGCCTGGTTTCTCTACAGAGATCACCGAAATAATTAAAGTTACACCGAAGGTAATGTGTTTTACAGTACGAGTAATTTAAAAAAAAGTCTAGACTTTGGACCTGCTGCAGCTCTATGTGCCATGGTACAGCCGACTCCCGATATGTATAACGAACACCGTTGTGCAGAAGAATTAGTTCTTCATAGCCGAAGTTCGTTCTAACAGAAATGCACTCGCCCCATACATGCAGCAAGCCATGACTGGCAAGTGGCCAATGACAGTATGAGTGCACTTGGTTTACATGCGGCCCTGCGAGGTTTGGTTCGTTATAAACGAAAATTGTTCGCTGTAATGGGTCAATTTGGGATGGGTTGAAACAGCGACATGGACAGGGGTTCGCTATATGCGAGTTTGTCCTACCGAGGAGATTCGTTCCTGCATAGATGTTGCGTAGCGTGCAGCCAGCTAGGCAGCTGTTTCGCTCATTGAGAGCTCCGCAGTTGAGTGGAGCACAGTAAAACTGCCCAGATCCGGACGCCCCTAATGAAACTCTCCAAATGCGGACGTCCCTAATCCGGGCACGGTTGTCTACCGGGCACCTTTCTGTCCCCTCTAGAGTCATAAAAAAGGGCTTTTCAACGAAAAATCGGCCCCCAAACAGTCATATTGATTGGCATAAAAAAACGTGTACAGTGCGTATCGGTTAGGGGTCGTCCACAATTATCGAACTTTTTTCACGAAACGAAATAATTTCGTTATGGGGTGGGAGGGGGTTGACCAATTTCGTTTCAGAAAACATTGATACATGTGCATGCCCATAGGAGCAGTTACACACTTGCAACTTTTGTTGTATTATGCATGCATATGTCAAACTTTTTTTACGTTCTGAGGGGGAGGGAGGGAGGGGTTGGGTCTAAACTAAAATAATTCGTTTGGTGAAAAACGTTCGATATTTGCGGACGGCCCCTTATGGTGTGGTCGTATACAAGAAATACTGCTTACAAGAATGAACACTCATTTTTTCATAATCATAACACATATTTTATGTGTATGTTTATTCTTACAAGCAGTATTATCGCATAGTAGAATATATCGGCCCTAAGAATGGATTTTGTGTAGCACAATATGCCAGATTAGTGCAAAGTGTATCGCCTGTAGTAATAACATCTGTGCTCTGTGCATACTCAATACAATAATATTCAACACAAAAGAGAGTTATGTCCAAGGCCGTATTGGAGAATCACTTTTTCTGTCCAGTCGGACTCTTTCCTCCGACTTCTCTCGCATCCGCTGCTCCGCAGTCGCCTAGTACGACCGCGAGTCTGATTGATCCGTGTGTATCATGTGTAGGTGTCCACATGCCAAACGTGCGCGCATATGGTATGTCACACGTGATTTCTCGCGTGTAAGAAATATCGGCAATACGAATCAAATGTCGTTTTTCAAACACCCACGCTATAACCGATACCTACTGTACTTGCATGCAGTACTTTTAAAGCCGGTAAGTTCTGAGTTCGGGGCAATTCCTAGTTACAGACAGTGCTTGGTCCCAACCTGCCTGGATTAGGGCAGTTTTTACTGTTGTGCAGTAAAACCCCGTTAGGAAGAACACTGATAAGACAAATGTTTGCTTAAGAAGAACTAGTATTCGTAACTCCATTGGATAAATCACTGTGTATTC